TGTGTGTGTGTGTGTGTGTGTGTGTGTGTGTGTGTGTGGCCAGCTCAGCCCACCAGGGGGCGCGGCTGGCTGGCATGTGGTGCTGGGGGATTGAACCGTGGTCCCTTTGCTTTGCTAAGCTTGTTCAAATAGGTGCTTTAGACCACTGAGCCATCTCACCAGCCCCGCCCTGAGTATTATTTGTGCTAAGAAGCTTCACTGTGTCATGGCCAAGACCAGTACACACCGCTGCAGAAAGTTTTCTGGTGTTTTGGCCATGGGGATGGAGAAGGCGGGAAAAGGGGGGCTTATGTCTCTGCAGAAACCTCATGAGATACTTAGTGTGGATGCCACAGGGGGTCGGTTCTGGACTCCGCATCCCATCGCTGCCTTACCCGGTGCTCCACCTTAATCAGGGAAAACAAATGGAAAGTGTGAGTGTGTGCTATCCAGCTGTTGTATAAAACCTGTGTTTTTGTTTAAAAACCATCTTTACCTCCTGCATCAACGTCAAATCTACAGTATTCACACTTTCACTTCTATATTGACCTGTGTAATGGATCCAATTGTCAAAGAAGATGAATGTTTCAGAGAAGATAGTATTTGGTGCACATTCCAATGTATTTGAAAGTCTCATAACTTCATATAGCAACTTGAGCCCAAAAATTTCAAGGAGTGGATAAAAGCTATTTGCACTATGACCACATACAAAATTAACAGTAAATAAGGACAGGTCAGAGTTTCCTGTCACTTTCACATGGAAGTTTCTTTCTTTGTCATTACTGTTTATGCTAATGAAAATCTTTGTTCAATGCTATGTAACAAAAGGTTGGGCTACAAAGAATACTGAAATGTCTTAGTACCTTTGATGTATGATTTTATATCTACAGCCTTACAAAGACTTCTGGAAAGAAAAAAAAAACTGAAACAATTCATGAGAAGGGCTATTATGATTTCTTTGACTCAGTTTCATTTCAACCTGATAGAACTAGAATAAAAATCTCACACTTAAATAAATGAAAAGTTACCCACTGGTTCTGATGTTATTTCCAGGACTTTTAATTCTCCTTGTCTTGTTCATGTTCCTGTAACTATGAGAGAGCCTCGACTATTTCCCTTCATGCACACAGAAGAGAGTACCTTTATGTCAGGAAATTGGCCCAGATAGGTGTCCAGTGTCAGCAAGGACCCGTCCACTAGTTTTTGATGGAAGTCTTCCCAGAGCACATCGCATTTCTAAAAGAAATGAGAAATAAAGAGACAGTTGCTGAATTATTTTCATTGGATGTATTCCACAAAATTCTAAACCACCTGAAACTATAAAATTGGTTGAGTAACACTTTTCAAGCTATTAGATGTTGGAAAGAGTCTGGATTACTTAAGAATAAAATCAAATGTAGAGACACTTTGGCCACAACGCTAATTAACAGTATGGACTGAGAAATTGTCTCATTCAAAAATACATTTCTGAAAAAAAAATACATTTCTGATTCTCAGGGAAGGTAGAAGTTTCAAAAGCTCCCAGAAACAAATGGACTCTGGAGCTAAAAGACTTACTACAGTCTCAAAGAGACAGCTTTGCTTATTGGAAGAACTGTGAGTCATGAAATAGGAAATCAATCCAGGTAGAAACAAAAAACAAACCATTGCTGACGGCTTCGCGGAGTAAGTAGAAAATTTACAGTCACACTGGGAAGGGCTTTATGGCTTATGAAATATCAACTCCATAAGTAATAAACCCTCAGTGAATATTACTGTCAATATGTTAAGACACCGGGTTAGATATGTGTGGTGAAGGGCATTTAATTCTCATAATAGTTTTGTGTTAATCGGAAAAGACTTGTTATTTCTAATATATATAGAGAAGAGATTACTGAAATCCGAAGATGTCACATATGTTGGTCAAAGTCACACAGGTGATGAATGAAAGATCCATACTTCAACCCAGATGTCACACTTTGAAATCATAGCCCTTGGAGCCGGGGAGATGGCTCAGTGGAATAAGTGCTTCCCTGGCAAGTGCAAGGGCCTGAGTTCAATCCCCGATTCCGCAAAAAAAAAAAAAAAAAAAAAAAAATCATAGCCCTGAGTCTGTATAGTGCATCAGGGTGCCTTATCAAGGATAAGACTTTAAAAATGAACCTCCCTAAATCAAAGTTTTTCCAGTTAAACACAGGCAGTGTCTCACAGAATCCCAGAACATAGCAGATGCTCCACAACATAACACTGTATTTCTCTCACTACTACTTTTGGGGTCTGTTGCTTGCACATGACTCAGGCTGTAACCTTTATTTCTTTTTAGTAGTTAAACTTTCAATTTTAGCTGGTCACATGGCTACCTAGGATAGAGAGTCTATTTCTGAGACTCCTTTGCAGCTAGGTATAGTCATGTGACCAAGTTCTGACCAATGGGGTGTGCTTTTACCAAGTTTCCCAAAAGAAGGGAGTGCATCCATCTACCAGACTTTATCTTCCCTGATGACTGGAATGCAGACATGAGAGCTAATAGACAGTGTTCAGCAAGTCCTCTCAAGCAGCTGGAGACAGACTAAGGGCAGCAAAGATACACTTTTGTATTTGTGTGTTCACCATGCCATACCTACGCTTCTGACATCTATAATCCTCTCTTTAGGGGGAGAGATAAATTCCTACTTTGCTAAAAATAAATACTGTTTTTAATCCGCTTTCATTTCTTTTTCACACTTCAGAAACTAACTCTAATTGTCATCATCCCCAAATTCAGGAATTTTATGCAAATGGAAAATTTAAATGCACTGTAGAAAAGGCTCATCTTATGGTGTGCATAGATCCCCTAAACACAGTGCTCAATTCCTGCATCATCAAAAAAGCCCATATTTGCAAATGCTATGGGGCTAGCAGTTTTTAGGATTCTATTCCAAAATCCTGACAGTTTCAAAGACCAAGGTAGGACAGCAGCTATCCCTTTAAAGACTCAAGCTCAGAGGTGGCTTTTGCCATACATGAATTGTAATGGTGCAGCACTGTGAAAAGATGGCAATAGTAATTTGTTATTATTCTCTTAAAACTCCTCTTTTATGTTGAATGTTAAATAATCTGTAAATTATTTTACAGATAAAGTAAAACAATCTTACTTTATAATTTTAAAGTAAATTAAGCACTTAAAAATCTGATGTTGAAACACAGGGTCTTTCTAGTATAAGAAAATACAAAGGGGCCAGGGAGATAGCTCAGTGGAATAAGTGCTTGCTTGACAAGCGCAAGGTCCTCAGTTTAATCCCCGGTACCACAAAAAAAAAAAAAAAAAAAAAAAAAAAACAAGAAGATGAAATATCTTTATAATTGCATCTGAAAAAAACAATTACATCAGAAAATGATACGCAAAGAATGTTTCTGAAAAACTCACATCCTGGGCCAAGGAGATAGCTTAGTAGACCACTTGCCTGGCAGGCACAAGGGCTTGAGTTCAATCCCCGGTTCCACAAAAAATAAAGAAAGAAGAAGAAGAAAAGAAAAGAGGGCTGGCTAAATAGCTCAGAGGATTAAATCAATTTCAAGCAGGTGTAGGGGCAGGGGGTTTGATCCCCTGGCCTGCCATGCTGGCCCTGCTCCTGGGGTATGGGGAGATGGCAAGTGAGACTAGGCATGGTGTTGCATGCCTGTAATCCCAGCTTTTGGTAGGTTGTAAACAGGCAGATCACTATGAGTTCAATCTAGTAGTGAGACCCTGAACACCCTGTAGACCCTTCCCTAAAATACAAAAAAAAAAAAAAAAAAAAAATCCACGTCCTGAAAACTTTTGAAAGATATAATAGGGTCAACAGGAGTTTTTCTCTTAAACAGATCTCTGTTTATATTACAGTCCCAATGAGATTATGAAGAGCAATGTCAGGATAGCAGAACTGGCACAAGGCAGCCAGGGACTCCACAATTAACCCACTTTCCCTCCAACTGTGTAGATATGCAGCTCATCACAGTAGATCTCCCTGCGAGCTTGGGCGGCCAGATCTACTTCAGGTCTTCTGTACCTCCATAAGCTCCAGGGCCTCACCCCAAGTGGAGGCCAGGACAAGCAATTGTTCTTTCTTTAACACAGAATTTGGATGTGAGAGACCTTGTCACATCAGGAATCATAATTAGTGCACCAAGCCCCAACTGGGTGACATGGACATACAAGCTTCCTATGTGTTTTCACTACGTATAGTTGCTTTTCTCATTTTGTAGATAAGGAGACTGAAGCCCAAGAAGAATACATAGTCCAGAGTCATACAGAGCTACTTGCATCTGTTGCATTCTGCTTTGCACATAATGGTGTTGCCATCTGCTGACTTCCAGCCAGCCAGGTGGCTTTCAGTTACAAGCTGGATTTCAGGTCTTGGGAGATGTCTGAGGCCAAAGCTCCCTTGAGGTGAAACTCCTTTTAGCAAGCACATGGACAAGCTGGGGTCATAGTGAACCAAATGCTCTTTTGAGCTCTTGATCCAGCTTTTAGAAAGGGCTGGCTAAAAGAAGTTTGGGGTAAAGGAGGACATTCCAACATATAATCACACCATACTCCAGTTCCACTAAAAATGGGATGCTAAGGTCTGTAGGGTGGGCCAGAAAACTGGCACCATTATGTAGAAGAAAACCTTTAACCCACAGGTTGCTCTGCAAGTGCTACAATCACCTTGACCACTCACTGAGTTTGGGAGGCTCCAGGTAGCACACATTCATGCTGCCTTACAGGCACACGGTGTCCCCTTGAGATTAGGGCTGTGAACCACAAAGGGAGTTATCAGAGAACAAAACTAATGAGCAGGCCCAGTGGTCACCGCTGAGAAGCCCTGCCAGTCTTCCTGTGTCCTGCCGTGCTGACTCTTACCTCGCCAACCATTTTCACATCTTCCCGCCCATACCAGTCTGGCTCGTAGACTTCATGCAGGGACTCAGTGAGCTTCATGGAGGCCTCTTGCATGCCTGGTGTTGGAGAGAAACAAGTCCTGTTATAGGGAAATAGGTGAGAAGGCTCTTTTCCTTTCCAACGCCTTCCAAAGTTCAAGCACCCCCTTGAGTACCTGCTGTAAAAGCAGAATTTCCACACATCTGCAGGCACAACTTTCCAGGAGGAGCTCTAAGGCTCATCTCTTCACACTGCATATTTTCTAATATCTACATGAGGATGACATATACAGGGTCTTGGAAAAAAATTGACATAGTGTCCTGTTCTGAAATCTACAAGAATAACGCATCCTGCTCTCTGCGCTCTCACTTTATGAAATGGTATACAACTGTCAGTGCATTGACTAGTACTGGACCATAACACTACTCAGTTTTAGAAATAATATTAATCCTGAATAGCTTCAAATATAAGAAGTAAAGTCATTTGAGGTTCAATTAGAAAGAAAATAAATGGCCTTTCAGGGCATAAGACTTGAAGGTGGTTACATAGTTTAAAATAGTGAAAATGCACCATTTTGTATCTGTATATACAGAATAGTTAGGATAGATATACAGCTACTTTCACTTAATTCAATGAGAAGAAAGATTTGTACTAATACTGTTTGGACAGGATATCATGTCTGCTTCTTGTACTATGAATAACCACTAAGAAGATAACAATGTGCAATGTATTAATTATTGAAAATGTCCTATTAATCAGTTTTGAAACTGTCTCATTGATATCTGTTTCTCAATAAAATAAACTTTAATTTAATTTTTAAAAATATAATATAAAAATGCTTAGTGTAGCTAAAAATAAAGTTTTGGTGTCCTACAGTTACTAAAAAAAAAAAACAAATTAAAGCTTGTGTTTCCAGTATTATGAAATGTTATGAATATAATTTTAAATTAAAACTATCAGAAGGTTTAGCGTTCTTAATACAATAGGTCTTAAATTGTCATTAAAAGCACATTCAGTATGTACCAAAATATGGCTATTAATAAGAATAAGGATATGGAGCTGCTGAGTATGACACGGTGGTAAAATGTTTCACCAATGTCTTTTCTTGGCTCTGCTCTCTACCTGCCAAATCAAGGAAGCTAAAGTGCAAGTGCTGGGTTGGGATGGAGATAGCTCATGGTTGAGTCCAGAATAAAGGCAAAGGATGGGTTGGAGAAACACTCCTCCATCCCTTGACATTTACTGTTAGCCAGAAGATGGAACCTGGCCAAGCTGGTATCTTTGCTTTTGCCAATATGGGTTATGAAGGGGCTGGACAAAGGGACAGAAGGTAAAACTTAACACCAGGGGTTCAAAGATGGACACCATTTCTGAAACTAAAACTTGAAGCATGTGCTTGCTAAGCAGAAGGCAGCCAACTCTGAATTCAGCAATTAGACAAATAGGATAAAATTTTAAAAACTGAAATGATACCAGGGCATCTGTGAAGAATGTGTACAACATTCACCATGTAATTTGGTATATCTCATCATGCTTTTGCACTCTGTAGTCATAGATCTCACCCTTCCTTCCCTCAGTAGTTACAGACATATTTTGGGGTCTGATACCCTAAGCTCTAACAGCATCTCACAGGCACAGGAGGTGTGAAAGCCTATCTCCTTTTCTCCTTGAAGAGTATATCACAGACTTGGTGAAGGATGCCCCTGACAGCAAGGTGCGTAGTTCATATGGTTGAAGTGATTGGGTTTGCCAAATCAAGATATATAACAGCTAAATATGATTCAAAAACCTGTGTTTATCTCCTAACCCTCAGAAACCTATAGTAAAATATATTGTTACTTATGATGGGGTCAACACCCAGGTGACAGCTACATTTCCCCAGTGTCATATTCATCTCACTCAGCTATAAGTAGATCTATATCACAAAGTGTACCCCTAAAATTCATGCCAAAATCTAGGCACTAGCTGATGCTTTTCTATAATTCAGAGGCCAAGAAACTTCTGCAGCTTTCTTTAAATCTTTATCTTCAGTCTGATGGAAATTATAAATAGCAATGTGGATAGATTCATAACAATGTCTAAAGAGCACAAAACAGAAATAATGGCTTTGTAGGACAAATGACCTTCATGGTAAATAATAAAGCCAATGAAAGCTTAAAATAAAATCATCTAAGACTTTAGTCATTGAGGCCAAAAGCACAATATTGCAGTAAATATGTCCATTAGCAACCAAAAATAACCACTAGTTACTTTGTGGAAAAGTAGTGACAGACAATTTGAAAGAAGTTGTTTTGACATAGAAATTGTTTCCAGGCCATCTACACCTTCAGAAGCACTTTAACAGAAACACAGGCATATTCATCAGCTTTCTCTTTGTTGGGACACACTATCTGACATGCACAATTTAAACAATTTTAGATTGGCTCATGGTTTCAGGGGATCCAAGCCTTGATAGGCTGGTTCCAAAGTAGAAACTTCATGGCAGAAGGTGTGACAAGCTGCTTAGTTCATGGGACAAGCAGATAAAGAGAACAGAGCCAGAGCAGAAGGGCCCATGTCCAAAGACATGCCTCCAACACTCACCCAGACATCCACAAATGTGTTTTATTTATCTCATAGATGCTCCAAGACAGTCAATTGGCACAAGCTGAATCATCACTAAAGGTGAACCCGAACTTTTCTACCGAGGAATATAAAACATCTAGTAACTTAAAACTGCCATAGTTTGAATGTAGCTCCCAAAGCTCATACGGATCACTGTTCAGAGCTGAGAAGTTTAAGAGTGATTAGGTCATGCAGGTTCTATTCTCATGTGCATAATCACGTCGTGAGGAGGTCCCTCTAAAGGATGAGCTCGCCCATTTCTCATTGTGTCATGCCCAAGTGAGGCATGCCATCAAGTCATGATGCAGCCACCAGGCCTTGATCTTGGAATACCAGCCTCCAGAACCAGAAGCCCAGTAAGTTTCTGTTCTTTGTAAACTATTCAGAAGCACAAAAGACAAGAACTTTCTGCTAAAACAACACAATAGAAACCAAAAAAAGCTAAAATTCCAAATTCTTTCAAAATCATCCATCAATGTTAAAGTACAATGCATGCTAAATACTACCTCTGGCTCTTAACTATATCTAATACCCAATATTTTCTTAAAAGGATTAGTGGGTTCCAAAACTACAGAACAACGGAAGCAGCATCCTATGGAGGAGAGTTATTATTGTACTGTTGAATGGGAACTTCTTCCCTCTCTTCAAAATGCTAGACCTTTCCCAATGCCTTTCACGTAACATCCTCTGCTTCCATTTTCAGCCAACTTTCTGCTATTCTATTTTCATCCTGTAAGACTGGTTGCATAGATTGCACAACTTCATGAGTACTCAGCTTGTATAGCCTGCGGATAGATGCTCTGGTTAAAAATAACTTCAGTTCAAAGATGTTATGACAACAACCAGCAGCATCAGCGATAAACCATGAAAAGAATTTCTAAAATCTGGTGAGTATCTAGCAGTTTTGCCTCGCTGTTTAGAAGATAGATGTTTAAGAATCCAGCAGCTGCTTCTAAGGAAAGCAGGAAGGAAAATTCTTTGTCCTACACCCCAAAGAGGAAAACCAGTATAAGAGTAAGGATAGAAAAAATGAGCAAATACTGATGTGCTTCAGGCATCTTTCCCCTTAGGTCACACATGCACATAATGAGTCAACTAAAACTAGCACATATTAATCATTCACCTTGGGCCATGCTCCATTTGGAGAAAAAGGTTGTGTATTCATCACCCCTGTGTCTGGCCTCTGCTGCCACTCATGCAATGACTCTTAACTCCAAATCCTTCCTGGACATCACCGCTTGAAAGTCTAATCAGGACCACAAACTTCACTTGCCCGAAACCCTAACATTTCAACTTTCTTTTTCTGTTTTTACTCCTTCTTCTAACGTCCAAGAATGACATCCAATTGTCCCAGCTTGAAAACTGGAAATCATATTAGGTATGTCTTCTCATAGCGATTGTGTCACCCAGAGGCACAAATTCTGCTGGATGCTTGAATCCATTCCATCCTTTCCGCCCACTGCCACAGGCCTGCATTACCTGCTCATCCAGTATTATTTGAATTAGGCTCTAATCCATGGAAACAGTTTAGCAAAGCACTTGGCACCAGCAAACATTCAAATGTCAGCAATCATTTATGAAAAACATTTTTGGAATCATTGTGGCATAAGAATTAAGACCATTGTTTGCAATCATCCAGCTTTTGTTAAAATCTTGGTTCAATTTCAGTCCATCTGTGTGATTCTCAGGCAAATTATTAATCATCCTGAACCACCATTTTTTAAAGTGTAAAATACCAATAAATAGCAAGAGTCCTTGCCACAATATTGTATTAACAATTATACAAAATGGGGCAAATACAAAAGTTTATCTCAGTGTCTGGCACATAATACTTAATAAAGGTTGGCTATTGGGACCGGGGAGATGGCTCAGTGGAATAAGTGCTTCCCTGGCAAATGCAAAGGCCTGAGTTCAATCCCCAGTTCCGAAAAAAAAAAAAAATGTTAGCTATTATTAAACTATTAGACTGGACACCTGATAAAGTCCCTTGCAGTTTCACTTTCTTTGTAAGCTATCCAGAAGAACAAAAGAAGCTTAAAACAGAACTTATCTACTATTAAACACACACACACACACACACACACACACACACACACACACACACTAGAAAAAAATGCTAAAACTGCTAGTTTCTTTCAAATTAATCTGGCAATATTAAAGTAGAGTGTGTGCTAAATACAACCACTGGCATTTAACAATATCTAACATCCAGAGCTGTCAAGATAGCTCAGCATTCTAAAGCACCAGCTTAGGTAAACTTAGGCAAGCTCAGGAACCTTGGTTTGATTTCTGGCACAATATGCCACGCCAGCCCCACCCTCAGGGTGGGCTGAGCTGGCCACACACACACACACACACACACACACACACACACACATACCCTGTAAGTGAAAAATAAAACATTTTTCCTTAAAAAGAAATTCTAATACTCAATATTTTCTTAAAAGACTAGTTATTTCCAGAATTGGAGAACAATGGATTCTCTCTGTAGCCCTCACGATCTCAGTAGCTCTTTTTTCTAAGATGTTTTTCTGAACCTGTGACTTATTCATATGCCTCCAATGATTTTGTGACTCCCTTCTCCAGTTTGGAATAAAACCCCAAATGAATATCATACATAAAATCTTCTTTATATAAATTCTGCCACCTTTTCTAAGTTTCCTGCAACTGTGTTTCTGCTTGCACCTCCCTCCTCTACTTACTCCTGAAAGAGTGCAGGCTTTTCCTCCTTCCTGGCTCTCTGCCTTTTTCTCTAACTGGAAATGTCCCTTCCATCCACCACTTTCTACAGCACACTTAAGCCTTTAGTCAAGCACCATTATGCCTTCATCCTGGGTTCACTGAATAATAATACCTTCCTTGGAAGGTCCATTCCTGACCCAGCCCCCTAACCCTTGTGTAGTTAGAAATAACATGGCTTAGCTTTCAGCGCAACATTAGCTAACTAATAACTCTAGCCTGCTAATTACACTGAATCACAAAGATTTCTGGTGAATGCCACCCAGAGATCAGTGCTAATAAGAATAGAAGCCAGGTGTAGTAGCAAGGGGATTGTAAATTAGAGCACAGCTAGAGGAACCTAATGGCATAGTGAGACCATGGGTCAAAGTCAAAGAGTCAAAAAGAGCTGGAGACGTAGCTCAGGGAAAAGGCACTATGTTCACTCTTAAGGTGGAAGGCTGGGGGACTTATTTCGCCCAGTTGCATAGACTCAGTGCCTGGGCTTGGGGGTGGGGAAAAGAGCATTTTGTGAATGGAGAATGCAGAGCTGCAGAGAGGCTCAGTGCTATTCTCAAAGTGTCTGCCACCCAAAACTCTCCAAGACAGAACTCAGCCCCTCATATTGCTGCTAAAATGCTGCCCTGAGGCTGCCTGCACTACAGGATACCCCTTACACCAGCTTCTTTAAGAAAACAAAAATTAACCATGTAAGCAATTTGAAAATGCAATTTATGATCAACACCAGACATGTCTACTGTCTTTAAGTGGGTCCAAGTCTGTGTCCAAAGCCCCAAATATCTTCCAAGAATACTACTCATTGTTTGAGTCTCTGAAAAGACAGAGCACTCTGCAGCCAGGTAACTGAGGGAAATCCTAGCACCCACTGTCTCCTCGGGGCTCACATTAGCACAGAGAGGGCTCTGAGAAGCTCAGGAGCACCTCCATCCACATCCATTAGCAACTGTGGCCAAGATCACTCAAATGTCTCTCCTGGCGCATCACTCATTAACATCATTCAGTCAGCAAAGCCAAGAGCAGGGAAGCTGCTGTCACCCTTCCTCTTCATGTGGAGGAACAGCCATCAGAACTTGAAGCAACAGGCTGTCTCCTGCTTCCCTCTAGAGCTAACACCTCAGTAAAGAGAACAAATTGCGTAGACTTTGGAGAGAGAATCCACTCATTTAGTCCACAAATTTATCCATAGTTTTAAACATGGAGAACTATCCTATGCATGAAATAATATATCAGGTGCTTACACTCATATCATAAATCAATAATACTTAGCATGGGTTCTATTTTTCTGGCCAATAAACACTTGAGGTTAATTTGGGAGCAGTGAATTATGAGCTCTATGAAGCTGTGGAATTAAATTATCTAAGCTTACTTCTTTGCAAAAGCAAAATAAATTCCATGACATTTATCATATACCTGTGCTGGGAAGCTACAAAGAGGTAACAGGACTAAAGGGCTTAGCACAGAGCCTGTCACATAGCAATCGCTCAATGAAAACCAATAGTAGTAAGTTGCAATGATTCTCCTGTGATGAACTAGAATCCCTGAGATCAGTGCGCTACCACTGATTCAGTAGTTCAAAGGCACATAAGCAAGAGCCCAGGGGGAAAATGAGCACAGTACTGTCCTGACCCTATTGTTTACTAGGATGTGACCTAGGGCCAGTTGTTTAATTCTTCTGTGCTTCTCTTTTTAAAAATCTATGAAGTAAAGATAAAATGTAATTGCTTGAGAGGCTGAGACAAGATGATCATATGTGAATTCATGAGCTTGAGGCTATCCTGGGCAAAACAAGGAGGGGGAATGGGCAAGGAAAGACACAGAAAGAGTGAGAAGAGAGGAGAGAAAGGAGGACAGGAAGGAGAAGAAGAAGGGAGAGTAAGAGGGAGAAAAGGAAGAGGAAGAGGAGAGAAAAGAAGGAAGAAGAGAAGAAGAAAATAAAAGTAACTGCTTCATATAGTCATCACAGCATTACAATTATGTGTCTGGGACATGAAAAGCTTACACAAATTTTACTTAAGTATCAGTTCACTAATTTTATTCTAGGACTAATTTTTCATTAAAATTTTATTATTTCATGATTTACCAATATCCTTTACACTCTGTTTTACACTTTCACATTGAACTATGAGGATACATTCTTAGAAATGGAGCCACATCAAAAAGATTGCCAAAAAAAAACCCTTAAGGACACTCATGGAAAGGCCTTGCTAGGTGGCTCTCTAGGGAGCTATCCGGGTGATGGGACAGATGGGCCTTTCCCCCACGGATTTGCCAATGCTGTGTTCTGATACTTAAAAAAAAAAAAGTCTTTGAACATTTGGCACCTTCCTTTTGCGATTCTATAACAATCTTGGATAATGCCAGAAGATAATCATTTTTTCATATTGATTACCCATCTGTAATTCTTTTCACTTATTTTTCTTTGCAAGTGTTCTGCTCCTCCTTTTCTCAAAGCTGGAATCAAACTAGCATCTTACACATGGAACAAATCTTCTACCATCTGAGCCACACACATCCTCAGGCCTGCCTGTTTTTTATTTAACCATTTGATCTCTGCCTCGTTTACTTATTGGGCTCTTTCTATATTGATTTAATTTCCTTAAACATTGTGTCAAATGGTGATAATCTTAAACAGATCTGCAAGTCTTATGTTTTTATGAAACTGAATTCCTCAGTCTTTCTGGTTTTTGCCTTTTGGGGTACCTAGTAAAGAACCTGTCCATCCAGAGCTAGGGACAGATCCCTGCACTGCACGTAAACAAGGCTGCAAACACAGCTACTGTGAGCAAGTCATGGGCAGGCCCAAAGAAACCCTCTGCTGCCCCTGTGTCTTCCTTTTCCCAGCAGCAGGGGGGCTTATACATGAGTCTGTGCATGTTTTGTTCTTGGGCCCTATCCTCCCTTGGGCTGTAAGCCAACAACAGCTTTTCCTATGCAAGGTCTCAAGATCACTCCAACTAACAAACCTTCCTAGAAATCTCTGGCATGTGGGTGGCACTTATTCTTTACTCCCAGCATGAGGGCAGATGTATTTTAGCCTCCTGTGTCCTGACTGTCATTGCAATGGGAATTTGGAGGTAGGTGGGGATCAAGTACCCTACTTGCCAGAAAGCCAAATGGCTTTGAAATCAACACTCAATTCTATCTCTTGCAAATTCCAAGAACAACCTGTGCCTCAGAATAGGCAATAAACAATGCACACACATTACCTTTGATTGCTGCTAAATACCCTCGGAGCTCTCGCTGAAGTCTGGTACCCTCTGCCTGCAAAACACACAAACATAGAAATGCTAAACATCCTGTCTATATTTTTCATACAAACACATAAGAAGCAATGAAACCCAAAGTTTTTGCTGTAAAATATTCATTCCTTTTTATCAGTGCATATTAGTTATGCAGAATAATGCATTTCATTATGGCATAGTCACCCATGCACGCCACACATTTGGATAGCTTTTCCCCTTACTCTTTCTTGTCCCTTCCCCGCTTACTTCTCTCATCTTACCTAACAGTCTGCAGAGAGTATTTATGATGAAACAATATAAATATGTGGACAAAGACTAAACAAAGTAATAATATCCATCAGTCTAGATATATAGGGAGATTGGATTCCACTTAAAAGAAGAAGACAAATATGATGTTGCTAAGAGTAGAAATTACAAATTAAAGAGCTATCACTTCTCTTCATTTGGACACTTGGGGAACAACAGAACAGAACTGATCACCCCTGTTTGTTATGGCAACCATATGCGCATAGAACAAATAGCTGATACAAGCTGAGATTACGGTGTTTTGCACTGTCAGGGTATTTTAGGAACCCAAGGCTTTAAAGACTTAGAACAAAAAAAAATAAAATATCTTATTAATACATTCTATGCTGATAATATGTTAAAATGACAAGACTTCATTCAAGTTTAAAATTATTTTTCATGTGTGTGTCATAACCCTTTAAATGTAGCTCTTAGCACATCTTAAATTATGTATGCAATCTGCATTGTATTCTCAAAAATAAATACAGGAATTGTTACACCACAAATTTTGACAGATGAGCACTTTCTTTGTTTGAGACTTGGGTTAGCTCAATTTAGAGTCAGTCAAGGAAATGGCAACAGGGGAACAGATGGGAGGCAGGGAAGGAAAGGGAAATCACACAGTGTGTTACTGAGAAAGCTAATCCCTTTGGACAGGTGCAAACCAGTCACAGGAGACTCAGACAAACAGCAATACCCAAACACCCTACAGACACCATGAATGAGAGGAAGAAAGCTGAATGCTTATCTATCAATTCCTGTTGTTTATTGACCAGGGAGTGCTCAGGGGGAACCCAATCCTCTAGTAAATAAGTACGACCATCAGTAATGCAGCTTAAGTAAGCTTGGTGGGGTTTGGAAAAGGTGAGCAGGCCTGACCTCAGGATCTGCTATGCCACTGTGGCTGAAAATACTGAAACTGTATACATTTTAACTGTATGATCAGTCAACAAAACTGCAAAGAAAATGACTCCACCTTGAGTTCAGCAATAAGACAGCAACTATAATAGCTATATTCAATTGAACAGGTATGTGTTAGAATTTACCAGAAAAGGTATGCCTGCCTCCTTCCTCAATAACTTACAGTGCGGTAGGAGAACTAGAATAGCTAAAAGAAGAAGAAAGAAGAAGAAGAAGAAGAAGAAGAAGAAGAAGAAGAAGAAGAAGAAGAAGAAGAAGAAGAAGAAGA